CCCCCCCCCGAAGCCATCCCAGCCCTGCCCTCCCCTCGACGGAGGGGCTCAGCCTCCAGACCCCGGGCGAGACCCTCCCTCTGGGCGAAGGCTGCCCCCTCCGGGGCCCTGGGGGGCGTCTGCCAGTCCTCCCCGGGAGCGGAGCCCAGGACGCCGCCCGGCCAGGTGGAAGCCCGGAAGCTGCGGGGGGGGGGTCGCGGCCGCTCAGCCCTTCATCTGCGGGGGGGGGCAACGCCGGCGGGGCTGGGGCTGGTCGACGGCGCCCCCCGTTCCTCCCTCGACCGCCCCGGCCCCAGGGAGCAAGCAAGCGCCGCCAAGATAAAAACTGAATCACCTTTATTCGTTGCTACTTCTAAATTGTGGCCCCGCTCCCCCTTCAAGCAGTCCGAGGGCGCCCCCTGCTCTCCACCAAGTCTCTCCCCCCACCCACAGCCCCACAGCCCCACAGCCGGTGTTGGAGACCCAAGGTGCCCTGGGCCCTCCAGCAGGAGACCTGCCCCCCCCCCGCGCGCTCAGGGCACGATCCGCATCTGGGAGTTGGGCTCCTCCAGCTTGAAGAAGGGGAAGATCCGCTCGCCCAGGAAGACGGCGTAGGAGAGCAGCAGCAGCGGCTCCCGTGTGGCCCCCTTGAAGAAGTGGACGGTGCCGCCCTCGTAGTCCAGGTAGAGGCGGAAGCAGCTGGTGCCGGGCGGGCACTCGGCAGGCGGCAGGTGCTCGGGCAGCAGCGCCCAGATGCCGTCGTCAGCAGAGATCCTTACCGGGCCCTTCCTGGCCACCGAGTCCTTCATCACCCCGAAGGCCCAGCCGTGGCCGCTCGAGGTCACCTCCACCTGCCAGCAGTGCCGCCCTGCCGCAAAGCCCTCCTCGGCCAGGATGCAGGGCGTGGTGTCGAAGGCCCGGCGGCCAGGGAGCAGCCCACTGGGGGTGGCGTCGTGGGTCACAATCTTCTTGGAGGCCGACAGCAGTAGGTGAGGGTGGGCCGTCAGGCGGTCCATGGTCACGTTGGCTTTGGGGGGGGGAGGAGGAGGAGGAAGAGGAGAGAGAGACGTGTCAGAAAGGGCAAGGGGAGCAGCCTCGTGGGGGGGGCAAGTTGACACCCACCCAGCCAGCCACCAAGGGGGCTAAATCTCATTCTCTCTAGCTTTGTTCTGATTGCTGGGAGTTGTAGTCCAGGTACCCCTGGAGAAGCATTGGCTTTTGTCCCACATGACAGGCCAGGAAGTCTTGGCCCAAGGGGGCAACCCTTACTCCCCATCTGGAAGCCGGCAGGCATGGCAGGAGGAAGGGGCCCTCCCCTCTACTACACCCAGGGGGCTGCTAGGTGCAGCAAGTGGGGGCCGTGAGTCTCCCTGCCCTCCCCCCAGGAATGGCCCAGGAGCCAGCAGAAGCAGCCAAGGCTTCCCTCTTCTCCTAACTGGTGGCTGGTCTCAAGACTCGGGAAGCTTCCCGGTTCTTGGATTGATCATGCCTACTTTCAAGTTCACAGCAAAGTCTCCCATGGCTAGCTGGGGAATTCTGGGAGCTGAAGTCCACAAGGTCTTAAAGTTGACAAGTTGGGAGACCCCCGATTTAGAACCACAGTGGTTCTTCTTTTCCCACCCTTCCGAGGACCCACCTCTTTCCACCACGGACACCAGGGGAAGGGCATCTGGAGAGAAAGAGGAGAGAGAGAGCAAGAGCATCTTTTTTGGAAAAGGAGAGAAATGCAGAGGCCTGGGGGTTCCCTCTAGTTGGCAGGGAAAGGAAAATGCTCTTTTGGCTCTGTCAGGCACTGCCCCCCCCCCGTCTGTCTGGCCAAGGCTTCTCAGTGCTTCAGCCCCACAAGAGTGGCCATCTTCACGTGTGTCTGGTTCTGTTAATCTAGCCCCTTTTACCACAATCCAACCAATTGTGGCTTATTCAACAGATTTAGCAAAACCGTTGGACAGGCTTTCTCTCAATCGTGTTACAAACACATTGACTTGTAGGGCTTGCATTAAGGTAGCTTTTACAGCCCTTGCCCAAGAAAGGCTGGGGGTGCAGCAAAGCCCCCCAAGTTGCTATTTGCCCACTGTCAGAGCCTGCACTGAAATAAATCTTAGCATCCTATTCAGTTCCCTAAACTTTGCAGTCTGCTTCCTGGTAGTTGCTTAGCGGGGCTTTCTGTGTGTCCTCCTGGCTTCCAAAACTGCTCTGCCCATCCCTGAGCAAATCCTTACCTCTGCACCTCTTCAACGTATTATCCACAAAAAGACTTCTGAGGGCGAGGTCCCACATTTTCTCCTTGAAGGGAGGGGATTGTCCTTCCGGAGGCTGAGCCAGAAGTTCTTTGCACCTAGAGACACCCAGCAGGGAAAGGATTATCTGCCTGCCAGGAGTTCTGTGAGCAGCAGGCAGGTTGTAGAGTTTCGCTGCCCAGGACTGTGCAAGGGGACAGATCAGAAGTCTTTCCATGTAGAGCAAAGGGAGAAATAAAGTGCCTCAAGAATAGTCAAAGATTTTGGAAGGAGCCCCAGCTTTAAGAGAAGAACAGGAAAAACAGAGTTGGTAGAATATTCTCACACATTGCACTACATCGTATTATTTTGTTTGCATTGGGGTTAGGAAGAGGTTTGAATTAACTATCATTTACAACCTCCCCCCCGCCACCACCACCCCGCTGAACTCAGCCTATGAAGCAGACATAGGCAACAAAACTAAGTTACAATAAAGCCATTTAACCTAAACCAGGTTAGGCGCGATATGCCAGCTACCTTGTTACTACTTGTCATGGACCAATAACAACTGCAGCCTGCAATTCATGTCCCTGACAAGGATTAAATTGTTATTGATTTCACATACAAAGCATTTTAAAAAGCAGCCCTCCTGAGCTCCAGCAGGAAACACAGGCCCTAAACTCCAATCGGGGATTAGCCATCATTAACAATTACTGGATGCAGCCCACATCCTTTTAATGCCTTTTGGTCCAGCTCAAGGAGTCAATTTCCTCATATTTAACTTCTGTGTGTAGCACAGTGACCTCATACGGCAAGGAAGGAAGCTGCGTGAGGGGGGAAAACTTCACCTACCTGGCCATCACCCCTTTGATATCCTGGAAAGAAAGACAGGAAAGACACGGGCTATAAAACAGGCTTAATAGCAAGTGCTGGAAGCAAGCAAGGGTCCTCCTCCCCTTTGATCAAAAGCAAGCGTTGAAGCAGGGGGTCCTCCAATCTTGGCCACTTTAAGACCTGTGGATTTCAGCTCCCAGAATTTCCCACCAGCATGGCCAGCTCAGGAATTCTGGAAGCTGAAGTCCACAAGTTTCAAAGTGGCCAAGGCTGGATGATACCCCTGCATTAAAGGCTCAGAATCCTGTCCTTTTTTCCAAGTTTTTTAGATCCGTTGGGCTTGGAATAGAATTATCTCAATACAGAAGAGTGAAAAGAGTCGAGATAAACTTGGAGGCCAGGCCCAGCTCTCTCCACCACCACCCCCAGGCAGTTGATTGCTCATCCCTGAACCTCATTAATTTGGACCCCAGAAAGGTGGTATTCTTCCCCTCCCCCCCATTAAGTTGAACATCTTTCCTGGGTGAACTTTCTACTGGGGAGGAGGCTTGTGTGATTCAAATGCAGTAAGCACAGAGGCAGAAATAGCCCCCTTTAATTGGGAACCCCCACTCGCCCCACCCTCCAAGGAAAAGCCACCACAGAGTCCAAAAGCTTTTGCTTAGTGAATATGGCCAAATCTCCATTGCTTTTGAACACCTCATCTTGTAAGGAGGCTGCGTCTGTTGAAGAGCCGCCCTCCATCCCACTTCACGTTCCCAGTTCCTGGAGGCTCCTGACCAGCCTACCTTCAGGAATTCATAGGCGGGTTCTTCAAACTTCCTCTCCAGCTCCTTGGTGAAGGTCCGGACTTGGTAGTGCTTCCTTGCCAGCCTGGCCAGCTCTTCCTCAATCTGTTCATTGATCCATTTGGCTGCCATCATCTGGTCCAGATGAGCCATCTTCACCACCTCATACATCTCCTTATATCCCGAGCCAAATCTCTGATTGTCAAGCTCCATAATTTTCTACAAAACAAAGCCATCTTAAGGAAGGGGACCCCCCCCTCCCCCCCTCTCCAGAAACAACAGCCCTGGCTCCTCCCCAGAGAGAAGCCGAGCGAGGGCCCTACCACCAGGTTTTCTCTTTCCGTTTGCACTTCTGCAAAGCTGTCTTGGACGTGTGCCTTCTGAACTCTCAGAAGCTTCAGAAAGACGTGGACTTCGGTCTGAAAAAAGAAGACCAGCTGCTGCCTTTGATCCTGGAGAGGTGCAGATCAAGACCCCTCCCAGCCCTGGGCATTTCTTTGGTGGCCCTGGCAAAGCTACCGCCAGGCCAGAGGAAGCCGGTCGGTTGGCTGCGCTCTGAATGTCAGTCTGAAGGCAAACTAACTCCTCAGCTGATGCCTGCACACAAGTACAAAAAAACCTCTACACAGTGCAAAGGTTGTGTATATACCTTCCTCCTATAAAGTTGCTGGCCTTACTGGCTGCTGCCCTCGGAGCAAACCTTTGAGCTACTTCTGTGTAGCTGAAGCAGGACCATAGAGCATCCCAAGCCATAACATGGTTTGTTTGTTTGTTGACCAAATGGGACCCATGAACTCAACCCACGTGGCTTATTAAACTCACCAGGGTCAAGCAAACCTTATCTTAATACAACAGGTGTTCCCAGACAACCCATTTGTGCCAAAGTCACAAGAGTGAGATGAACTACTCTGCACAAGACCCAGTTCAGCCTCCCTAACCACGAAGTCCACTGCAAGTGGGAAGCAAGTTTCTCTGACGGCGGCTTGTTCACTTCACCTGAAGCCAGAGGAGAGCCTCCCTACCTTGGCCTTATGGGCTGCCTCGTCCAGGGAAGCAAGTGCATGGTCCCTGTGACCCTGGGACTCCTGGCACTTGGAGCAGAGGAAAGCCCGGTCAGTCTGGCAGAAGAGCATCAGCGGCTCCTTGTGGGTCTCGCAAATTGCCTGGTTTAGTTTCTTCAACACTCCCTTGTCTTGCAGCTTTTTGATAAGCCAGGAGACGTTCCCCAGCTGCCTGTTGGGCACCAGGGTCACAGTATCAAAACTCTGGTGGCACTGAGGACAAACAACGTTGCTATGAGCACCTCCCCAGTGCTTCTGGAGGCAGGCCTGGCAGTAGTTATGGCCACAGTTTAAAGTCACCGGGTCATGGAACACATCCATACATAAAGTGCACTTAGCTGCATCCGGAAGGTATTCTGACATCTTTCCCACATCCATTGTATCTTCACCAAAAAAAAACCCCAACCTTTTCTCATAAATGTGTCAGGCTGCTTTCTTATAGCTTCCACCCAATAAATAAGCCCCTTTAGCGATTTTCTCTCTGCCAATGAGATCCTAATTATTTGGCTAAGCCCCTCCTGGATCCCTACAGGACTGGTCCTGCTGGGAGAAGAATTGCTCTGCAGCCTTACGCTTGTGTCCTCTGGGTGCCGTTGAGTTTTCTTGGGCACTATTTTTACTGTAGGCTGGACGCTGGACAGGGGAAAACATTCATTTCAGCCTCCTGGGCTTTTTCTGGAGAAAAGTCCTCTCTGGATTTCTGCAATTGAGTCTCTCCAGATTTTTCTCAAAGCCTCTTTAGAGTTCTGTGTTTGGATCTGGCCCTGATTCTGGGCCTTTAACAACAGCAAAAGAGCAGGTAAGGGGCCTTGGCCTGGAGGGAAGTTAGAGGAACAGCTCACCTGCTTCAGGTGTTGGACCACCTGCTCCTAAAGGTGCAGAGACTTGCAAGTAGGGCAACTGGAGACCAGGATCTTCCAACCTGCTGCCACCCCACAGAATTAGCTCTACAGAATTGCTCAGCTATTGTGGCCCTCAGAATTTGGTCCCAATTTAACCTGGAGGAAGCCAGGGAAACTTGGGGGTCCCAGAGTTGACCCAGTGAAGTTTAAAAAGTTTCTAGTTTGCATTATACTGGAGAACATCTTATCTCCTTACCAAATGTTGGCTTTTCAGCCTTCAGTTGTTCTGTATGTATCATCTGAGATGCTCTAAATATCCAGCTTTCACATCTTTCCTGCAAAAATCTAGGAAGCCACTTGAACCCCCACCCCACCCCCTAGTTTCTCGGCCTGAATAGCAAAAGTGTGTTTGGGGTGGTGGTGGAAGAATTGTACTTTCAAGTGCTTGCAGTATTTTGATAATGTAGCTTGACAATAAAGTTGAATTACTCATCTGCTTGTGTTTCCTGCCTAGTCTACCTCGCAAGGTTACAATCCCTGCAGATCTTCAAGGGGAGATTGGTCTAGTGAATGCCCATCTTTACGGACATTCCAGATTCACACATTACACTAAACCAGGCTTCTCAAACTTGGGAGTAAGGACGGGGCACACATGCAATTTGTGGGGGGTGGTCACAAACTGACTTTAAACCTTTTCAGCTTTGCACAGAGGACGGGACACTTTCCAGGGTTTAGTTCTTGCTTTGGAAACACTTCTGGTTGTGCAACACTGGCACAATCCAAGGCAGCAACTTTTAGGATGTGTGGGCTTGCAAGCCCCAGAATTCCCCAGACAGAAATGAAGTGCACCCCTTAAAAAGAGGCAGAAATATAGAACGCCTGCCTTCCAGGTCAGGAGGGGTGGGGGCGGTGGGTCTGTTTCAGCGGAGGCACCAGAAGGGCTTGGGGCATTTCCACAAGCGATCTGAGGCGGGACCCC